TAAATTTAATTAAAAGCGCTGTTAAAACAGCTCTTAAAAAGTCTAAAAGTCTTAAATTTGACCTGCTGAAACCTGCAGATACCCAGAGTCCAGTTGGTTTCTTGATGGTAAGTCAACAAAATAATTACCTATTCCAGCAGCCATTGTACAGCAAACAGAAAGAAAACCAGTTAGCAAAATGTGATGGGGCTCAGCTTTGGTTGCTAGGTAACGACGCGTTGCCAGTTGAATGTAACCCAACATTAAGAAGATTTTTGAAATGGCTCATTAACTTATTGCCAAAAAAAACTCATTAATATTTTTAAGTGATTGGACTGTTTTTAGAAACAGGTGAGACCAAAATGAACGTATAAAACGTGCAAAATATAACATTTTCATTTTAGGTTTCCTTTAAAATAAAATTTTTGTTGATTTTTTTGGTTGACTTTTTTGTATTAATGACTAAAAATGTTAATGTCTGTGTTTTTTTATTCTTTTTAGATGATGTTCTTTTTCAGATAAGCAAGAAAAGGATAATACATCAGTATCAGCATTTATTAATAAAGACACTGAATATTTCAGGGGATTTTTTCACATGATTTTGTGGCATTGAGCGGTCTGGGACACTGGGAACGGTGGCTGCTTAATGGTACCAGTTGACAAATGGATCTCTGTTTCTCATCTGTTACACCATGTGAACATCTGACAGCAGCCAGACCGCCTGGTACTGTATGTAGTGCAGCATGGGAAACAGAGCCAGGTGTCACTGTAAAGCTATGCTAATTAGCCCGGTAATAAAAACACAGACGCTAATGAAGATGAGGAATGTCAGACAGAAAGGGCGGCGCGAGCTCGGAAAAATGTCCGAACACAAGCTGAGAGTCTGCAGGACCCTCTGCTGAGGCTTTGCTTGTCCTGAGGGATTCGGTTTAACGTTTGCACATGAGAATATCTACAAACACCCAGTCTGTCCATTCTGCTGCTGAAAGTCGCGGCGAGGTCAAAAACAAAGGTTTCCTTCTTGTTGCTCTTGTGAAGCTGATATTTGTACAGGTGCAGCTGCAGAATCTTCCTGCAGGTCTTTTTACAGTCAGACAGGAGGTTTTATTTCCCTTCCAGACCATGAACTGACCTCCAGATGTGTTAGGAACACATCTGATTTCTGATTTGAATTTTTTTTTTTACTTTCTTTTCTAAAAATGAGATTACAAACAGGAGCGTTTCTACTTTTTTTGTTAGAGGGACGAGGCAGCAGCACTAACTACAACAATAGGACCATTGTAGAGTAAATTTCGCCAAAAATTTTTTGGTTAATCTCAGACATTTTCTAGAAAAAAAAAACTACACAATATCTGAGCTTGAAAAGTCAAAAATTTGCAAGCAAAAAAAAATCTAAATTATTTTGACTTTTTGAAACTTGGAAATTCCCAAATTGTTCTCACTGTATTCTTGTTGGCTGTGCAGGAGGCTCCACTTTTGCTTTTCAAAGATGTACGCTTGTCTAATTGCGTATCTGTTTGGATCCATTTTCACATGCCAGTGTAAACGTAGAGCTGGGTTTGGATTTGGATAGGATTTAAGTGACAAGACGCCCTAAAACATCTCATTCTGAACTGAGCAGACTAAAATCTCATTATCTAAGAAGGATTTTGTGTAAAAATGTAACGTGTTCAAACATAATAGGTTGTCTTTAATAACAGGAAATGTTGGTAACTTAAAAAGCTCAGTGGAAATTGCAGCCTCAATTTTTTTAAGTTGAACCAAGAAAACATTTTTTACAGTGTAGCAAGGCGACCTCTGATGGCTGTCTGTTAATCACTACTTTTTCAGGGCACCATAAGTGCATCCCGCCATCTCTATGAAACCTTTATTTGACCCCTTTGAAATGTGCTTTTTTTAACTTTAAGCTAAAATCAAATTTCTGACCCAGGAGAAAAACCAAATCAAACCGAGTTGATTCATGATGAGCAGGAAGGAGAGTCTGGATGAACCTCGCTGCTTTTATTACAACAGATAATCCTCTTTAGACTGATTCATGTCTGCAGGAAAATATGTAATCATCACCTGTACGCATGATACAGTCGTATGGGGACAATTCATGCCAAAAAACAGGAGAATTCAAGCTGATGAATGTTAATTGTGCATCTTGCATCATTCTATAGTAATGGTTAAAGATGTAGGATATCAGTTCCCAGCAGATTTATCCACAGAGTAAATATTTTCCAGTTTTTCTTCTGTCTGGTCAAACTTCTGGTTCTGATAGCTACACACTCGTTTCCTTTTAGGGGTTTTCCTCGTCTCAATCAATCAAAGGGAGGATCCATCACAGAAAAGAAGGAGATGCAGCTCTATTGGCCAAGACTGTGATGCACAAAAAAGGAATTTGGCTCAGTTTTTAAGGCGTCAACAGATATCAAGTAAAATATATGAACTTAAGATGAGATAAAATAAGGATAAAAGAACAAAATGTACATGTAATTTCAGCCAAATTGATCATTTTTATGGACAAAGAGACTTTTGGACGTCCTGAACCTTTCTTCTCTGCAGCTGAAACTCTTTTTAACGGCTGTTTCTTGGATGTTTTGATGCCTGCTGTTGCTAACACAAGATCATCATTTCAGGAACATTCCTCTTCCAAAGCAGCCATGGAATCAGAGCATTCAGGTATGCTAGTCAGAAATTTTAAGATTGATTTCATTTATTTTCTACAAAAGATATGGACATTTTTTCAGGTAATAAAGTAGAACATTTTTGACTTATAGAAATTTTCTGTGTCCTAGCAAATTTCGACTTCTGAAATGCAGAAATTTCCAAGTTTTTCCAGAAAATTTCTGAGATTTTTTCTTACAAATTTTCAACTTTTAAAATAAAAGAATTGCAGTATTTTTCTAGAAAATTTCTGACATTTTTCTCAAAAATTTTTGAAACTCAAATTTCCAATTTTTTTCTGGAAATTTCTGAAATTAAAATTCCTGTGTTTTTTCGAACACAGGAATTAAAAAAAAAACGTGAATTTTTGAAACTCAAAAATTCACCGCTAGCTACAAAGCCAACTATGCTAATCCTAAAACACTGATCATTGATGTTTCTTCTGCTAATGCTAGCACAGTATTTGGCGGAAGCTACCGCTAAAGTGTCACATCAACATGGTAGTTAGCTGAAGCTAATGCTAAAGCACTAACTTTAATTCAAGTTATATCTCCCCTTAAAGACTTCAACTGTCAAGCAACAATTTAATTTTGACATCATAGTTTATGTGTTCTATATTTTCCTTAAACATTGTATTTTTGTTTTCTACTGTCCGTGTTTTATTTATTAATTATGTCAGTTTTGGCCCTCGATATGTCTGTTTCTTGTTTTAAATAAAGTTATTGGGGGGAAAAGAGAGAAAATGAGGAGAGGAAACAAAACTGCTGTGTAAACAGACTTCAAAATAAGTGCATGAATTTAAACGTCTCACTACTTGGAGAATTTTTTACAGTTTATAACCAAAACTTCAACACAGTTGTTGTAGCTTATTAACCTGAAAGTTTACAAAGTAACTGAGTAAATGAGAAATGTAGAAATGATCAGGAATAAGTTATTTTAGGGGAAGCTCTGTGTGGTAATGTTTTCAAAGTTAGCTAAAATGCTAAACAAAAACTTAGCTCTGCCATTAGCGCATTAGCTGAAATGTGCCTACCAATGGCAATTCCCTAATGAATGGATCTTTGACCTCCTGAACGTCATGTTTAACGTTCTGGTTTTGCATTTTATCATTTGGTAAACCAGCAGTAATGCTGCAGCATGTTTGCATCTGTTCAGGGAGCAGAACCTGTTCCAGAACAACCCGAGCTGCAGCGGAGTGAGGCAATAAAACGGACTGTAAAACGCTGAAACAGGAAGACGTTTGGATCTCAGCACATCTGCGGAGTTTCCAGGTATTTACGAGAAACACCAGCAGGTTCTGGTGAGACAGAACTAACAGACAGTTATCTGTGAAAATCAGACAAAGTCAAATCACAGCCGATTTAACCGAGTGGTTGGCTGACAATAGGAAGGAACCACTCCATTTCTACAAGGAAAAACTTACAAAAGCACCAGAACCAGGTTCAGAACCAGCCTTCGTCTGCTCTGGGCTGAGAAAACAGGAAAGAAACACAAAATCACAACAGCTAGCAGTATGGGGAAATGCTAATCTTACTGCTAAGGGGTTCCAGTTGTAAAGATACACAGTCAGAAATTAACAATAGTTTGAGTTACTGAGCCTGTCAGAACAAAATGGGGGTTAATTTTTCAAATGATACTTAGGTAGCTAGCTTGTAGCTAGTACTTAGCAAGACTAGCTACAAGTGAAAGGTTTAGTTTACAAGCAAAATATGTAGCTCCAAATTCAATAGTTAGTTTGCAAGCTAGTTTTCAAATCACACAATTTAACATGCTAAGTATAAACTTTTGCTTCTGTCTACATATTTAGTTAGCAAGCTAGCTTCAAACAAAATAGTTAGCCAGATAATATATGTATCTAGCAAGGTAGATTCAAACTAAATATTTAGTTAGCAAAATCCCTTAGCAATTTAGTTAACAAAGGTAATATTTAACTCCAAACAAAATATTTGTTTAGTAAGGAAACTACATACAAATACTTGTTTAGAAAATGAAATATTTAGCTCCAAAATGAATACCTAGATTAAAGCTAATATTTTTGCTTCAAACTAAGTATTAAGTTAACAAGTAAATTATTTAACTACAAAACATTTTCGTTTGCCAACAACTGACATTTACAAAATGAATGAAATAAATGGTGATAAATTAACCTCATTTTTTCTTATGACAGGCTAAATAATCCAAATTATTGCTGTTGATTTTTGACAGTGTAACTATTAACAGCCTCCCATAAACCTCAGCATGCTAGCATCAACATTTGCAGTTTGACGCCGTGCCAAAGTTAGCATTAGGCTCAGATAACCTGCATGGCCGTCTATAGATTTACAGTCCTGCTGCAGTCCGAGCCTCAGACGCCGAATGATAAATAATGAAAAGAGGCAAACATAAAACGACCCCAGGCCTCACAGATTATTAGATCCTAAAAAGCTCCGGATTCAGAGCAGATGAGCAGCGAGGATTTATGTCTCGCTTCGTCCAGCTTTCATGTGGACGGACACTCAGTGTCCTCCTGTTTCTGTAGTTTGCATTAACCTCAGAAAAAACAGATCCGCCTGAGCAAACTGGAGCCATCAATTACAGGATGAGGCCAATATTTGGCACTAACTCTGCGAACGGGCGAAGTCCTGCAGAATTTAGTCGACTAACGACGGTTTAATGGACAATCTGTGACAAAGATAAACAGGAGCCTCAATCCTGACAGCAGAAGCTACTAATTACCTCACAGAGCGAAGGCAGACAGACTGCAGGATGATTTCCATGTGGCAGAGAAATTAGAGGACTACGTTTCTGTCAAAACATCTTCTCAAATTAATTAAAACAAAACAGTAATATATAAAAAATAGAAAAAAAATCTGGAAAACACTTGGAAAGTCGAAAAATGCTTGAAAATTTCAGAAATCTTTAGATTAATCTGACATTTTCAAGAAAAAACTTAGA